AGAAAGGTTTGTAAAATGAGGCACAATCAGTGGTGGGATTCAAATATGAGAACAACCGGTTCTCTGTATGGATGCCACTTCCGGAAGTCCATTCTGGGCCTGGCCAACAAAAAATTAGCTACTGGTTCTGCCGAAGTGGTGCGAACCAACTGAATCCCACCACTGGGCACAACTCACTTAACAACTGCCTCACTTAGCAATGGACATTTTGGGTTCAATTGTGGTAAAAAGTCGAGGCCTACCTGTATCTAGAATACAGGTCTCTGGCCTTTTGTGACACATAGACATATTCATAAATTTGAGATGAGAATCCATTCCATCTATGATTAATGATTAAAAATCATTGAATTCATGTGATCTGTTGTGTCAGGTGCTATCTACATTTCATTTGGCAGGCTTAGTCAGGTAGAATAAAAGCAGTTATTTGTAAAATGAGGTTTAAATGCCAAAAAATGGAACTCAGTTAAAATATTAACATATGCAGAATATTTATTTTCCACGTTTATATACTACAGAATCCAGAGACTCCTGCTGTTTACAACTGAAAGCATGAACTTTTTTTTAACAAATTTTTTTTTATTGAAAATTTTTAAAAGTTTTTACAAATAACAACAAAAAAACAACAAGAAAAACAAAACAAAACAACCCTCACCCAACCTCTCCCAAACCACCCCCTCCATCCCCCCCCCCGAGCTTCCCAGAGCTGAATATAGGCTTAATTAAAATTTTAAAAAACCTAAACAAATTTTTACAACTTATAAAATAGTTAATAATAAAATATATATGACATAAACGTTAAGGGAAAAAAATACTTAAAAAGAGAAAAAAAGAAAAAAGAAAGAGAAAAAGAAATAGGAAAAAGAAAAAAAAGAGAAAACAATCTATAAAATATCAACAAAATTTTATTAAATTTATATAGGTGAGGAAAAATAGGAACAATACAGGTATGGTAAAGGGAGGGGTAAAAGGAAAGGGGGAGGGGAAGAAAATAAGGAATTAGGGTAAAATAAGGATAGGTATAATCACATATTTCAACAAACAAGCAACCGTCCAGATCATAATAATGAGCAAATATCATAGTCAACCATTTTTAACAAAGCTTAAACTGTAACATATTAAAAACAATTAGTAAACAAATACATTGATCTATTAAGTAAACACTACTAATAAAATCTCAAAAAAAAAATCCTAACAATCAAAAGTAACAAAATGAAAATCAGTAAATCAGGAAAAATAATCATATCATCAAAATGTTAGTTAGAACTCGATTAAAAATCAGTCATCTATTCTAAAATATTAAATCCTTCAAGTTCTAACGTGTCTCTAACCATTGATAAAATTTTTCCCAAGTTCTAAAATAAATTGAATCATCTTTTTCTTTCATTTCTAATGTTAGTCTATCCTTTTCTGCACACTCTAAAATTTTGGTAATAATAATCTGGTCAGATGGTAGATTCTCATTTTTCCAAAATTGGGCAAGTACTATCCTTGCACCAGAAAAAAGATGCAATATCAAATAGTCATTCTCTTTGCCATAGTTAGGTCTTAATGTTCCTAACAAAAACAATTATGGTTTAAATTCTATTTGTAGTTTCATCATCTTTTCCAACATCTATGGATCTTAGACCAATATTTCTTAGCGATAGGGCATGTCCACCAGGCATGGTAATAAGTGCTTGGCTGTTGTTTACATTTCCAGCAAATATCCGAAACATTTTTAAACATTTTCGCTAAGCGAACTGGTGTCATATGCCATCTATAAAACATCTTATATAAGTTTTCTTTATATGCTATCGCTTTGATAAGCTTAATATTTTTATCCCAAAGTTTTTGCCAGTCTTCCAAATCTATAGAATATCCAAAGTTCTTTGCCCATACTATCATTGTTTCTTTCACTTGTTCTTCTTCCATCTTCCAGTTTAAAAGAAATTTATAGTTTTTTAATCAAATTCTCATCTGTTTTTAACAAAATTTTATCCAATGGGGTCTGTTCTTTGTAAAAACCAGTCAATTTTATATCTTTTTCGTATCTTGTTTGAATTTGCAAGGACCACCATGTCAAGTCAATACCTTGTAGTTGTAAAGTTTGCCTCTCCTTAAGTTTTCCCTCTTTGTCTAAAATGTCTTTATAACTAACCAGTTTGTCATAATTAATCAGATTTGGATAAGCAAATGCTTCCATTGTTGAAAGCCACTCAGGTATTTCATGTATATTTTGTTTAATTTTCTCCCATTCTGAAAGTAGTACGTTTCTTATCGCATGATTTTGAAAGTACTTATGTGCTTTAGATTTCTCATACCATATAAAAGCATGCCAAACTAGCTGAAGGTCATGTCCCTCTAAATAAAGCAATCTTTTATTTCTCAATACAACCCATTCTTTAAGCCAAAGCAAAATAGCCGCTTGATAGTAAAGTCTCCAATCTGGAAGTCCAAAGCCCCCTCTATCCTTAGATTCTTGTAACAATTTACATTTGATTCTCGTGGAAGCATGAACTTTTAAAGACCCTGGAGAATAATTCTATCTGGGCTGCCTTCAGAAATGAAGCCAGGATTGTCACAGATTTGTAGCTGTTCTACAAAGCAGAGGCATCCACCAAACAGACCGGACTGTCTCTGGGTTCTCACAAATGTCACCAGATATAGCATGAGAGCCTGCAACATTTTCAGATAGAATGAGCCTACAAGATGGGTCAGTACTATATAAAAAATCCTGCAAATGCATACAAGGCAAGGGTTTAACAGTCAAAAACAACAATGTGAATTGCATCCAAAAGCCTTGTGGCACAGTTCAACACCCACAATATTGTTATAATGGCTCTCATAGGTCAGCATGCAGGTTGCTGCATTCTTCATCAGCTGTAGCTTCCAAATACTTTCCAAAGTTAATTTCATGGACAGCATATTGAAATACAGTACAGGGATGTTGGTAAGAAAATGAGTTATATGCCTTCTCACTCAAGCCACGGCCTCCACCTGCCCATCATCAGCATGAATCCAGGAAGTACCCAAGTAGCTGATCTGTCCTTTTAGAAGAAGTCCTATATATTGTCTGGAGTAACCACTGAAGCAGAGAATTGGAGGATATCTGGATAAGCAGCAGCTCCACTTTGTCTGGCTTCAACCTTGGCTTACTTTGTTCTAACCAGATCTACACAGCTTCCAAGGACTCTCCAGTCTCTAGTGATGGTCTACAGTAGGGTTTCACCGATATACTGGTGATATCTCCCTCTGGTATCATTAATTTATCCCAGAAGCCTCATGTAGATGTTAAATACTTAGCAAAGTGAGAAAATCAGCCCCTGTAGAACCCTGTAATGGAATGCCCAATGGGTCTGATGTTACCACTACTGTCTGGTATTGCCTGGTTAGAAAACAGCAGAATTTCTGAAAACCACATCTCCAATCACTGTTGCTGGCTGGCAATCCAGAAGGATATCATGGCTGAAGGTATTGAAAGCTATCAAGAGATGAAGCCGGACCAAGAGGAGTGCACTCCAGTCATTTACAGCAATTTACCCTAACTGAAAAGGATCCAGATAATTTCCTCTAAGCCTAAGGCATTCTATAATTGGAATGATACCATCTGCTCAACAACCTTGTCTAAAGAGGGAAAATTGGCATCTGGTTGATATCCAATCTTGCTGGGTCACAGGAAGGCTTTTGGGGACAACAGCAAAGAAACAGGAGGAATCAAGGCTGTAGTAAGTTTGAGTGATTTTATCTATGGAGTGCAACCAGGTCATAGATATCTGTGCTCATTCCTTCCCACAAATCCATTGGATAAGAACACTATCTCACTCGCCCATTTGTTACCATGTCAAGACCAAGGATTTATTTTGCACTGTAAAATTAACTGAAACAAATTATATTTCCCTTATGGGATAGATCCCAAAGCCTAGGTGTTATTTATTGTACATAGGTAGCATCCACTGCAGGAAGGAAACTAAGACTCCCTTCCCCACTATTCACTCTTTACTCTTCCCCCACTCATCAAAATTACACTTAAAAGGATTTATTGCCAAGGTTGAAATTAGCAAGATAAAGGAAGAATGTCAGCCTTTTTTAGGATATCAGAGATTTCCCCTCTGTCTGAGACTTCCCCATTTTATAAACAAGGAGGATCTTTGTTTTCAAGGCCATCCCTTGATTCACAAGGCAAAAACCACAAGCCCAGCAGAGTGCTGGACCGCAGAGCTCTCCCTTTTGGCCATTTGCATTTCCAAGGTGGGATCTGTTCAGGCACTTTCAAGGAACGAAGGAAGGCTTTCCTATAAAAGGAACTGGGGAGGGGGGATTGACACGTACTTCTGAATAGCTGATCTTTGGAAATAAACTTCTCTGCTTCAAGCAATGGTTCTGTCTTCTTTCAAACCCGGTTAGAAGGGACTTTCTAACGCCATCTTACTCACAAAATCAACATCTGATCTCCTTGCCAAGGAACATATAGTGTGACTACAGCTGTTGTGGTTGATTTGTAAGGTAGCCAATTCTGATTCAATAAGCCTTGCTTAAACTACGGTTTGGCATATGATGTGTATATATGAATTTCCTCGATAAAAGGTCCCTAGCCTGTAAAAAAAAATAAACAGGAGGGGAAAGAGTACAAAAAACGCTGGAAAACGTGGACTGCCAAGTTGCTCTTCTCAGCTCGGTTCAACAGACGGGGAGACAGCAGCTGCGCTCCGGGGATAAGGAGCGGAGGTCAGGCAACGCCGTTCCCGAACAAGCCGCCGGCGGTGTTTTCGCGGCTGGGCTCAGGCAGCGGTGGGAGGGAACCCTTCAGCGGGAATAGCCTCTTGTGCGGGGAGGGGGCGGGCAGGAGGCGGCGCGGAGGGAGGGCAGGCCGGCTTCGGGAAGCGGTGCTCCGCGCTGGGACTGGTTCCTTCGCAGCCATTTTCTGTCCAACCAAACAGCCGATTTGTGGAGGGAGCCAACCAGGGCCGCACTGGAGGTTTGTGTCTGGCTCCGGCCAATGATTGCTAACCGGTTCCACTGCAGGCTCGAATGAAATGTCCGTCTCCCTCCCCGGGCTCTGGCGTTGCCGCCGCGCCGCCGCTGAGGGGACCAGGAAGTGTGGGGAGCTGGAAAAGCGGAGCGACTAGAGCCGAGCGGAGCCCACGCCGGGCCCGGCTGGCTGCCTCCCTCCCGCGTCTTTGTGCCGCGTCTTCTGCGCCCGCCGCGAGGGGAGGGGAAGGCGAGATGGCGGCGCTGGCCGGCCGGGCCCTGGGAACGCGGGGGGCCGAGAACGAGGCCCACGCAAGGCGGCGGCGGAGCAGAGCGCGGCGCCTCGTCCGGGGTCGCCTCCCGTGCCTGCGAGCGAAACCGGCCTCGCCTTCCTTTTTTTCACCTTCGCGCCCTCTTCCCGAGGGGGGCAGAGCAGGCGAGAGAAGGGACCTCCGCGGGGTCCCCTGGCGACGAGGACCCCTCTGTGCCACCCCTTGCTATTTGGGGGGACTGCCGTACCCTCGGGGGCAGCCTCCCCGTTTCACCACCCCCCCAAGGCCCCTTTCCCTCCTTGGGTGGAGTTGGGTTTGTTTAAGTCGATCCGCTTTGTCTGCTTCTGGCTTCGCTCGGCCTAAAGAAGAGGGATCGCGGGGGGGGGAGACCTTCCGGAGGGTTTGTCCCCGCGCCTCTGCCCCGACCCAACGTCGTGCTGGTCGGCATTTCGCGGTTACAGGAGTGGGTCCGAGGGGGAAACTAAACGCTGTCAGAAAGCTTTCCCGCAGTCCCAGCCCGGAGATGCTTCGTCCTGCTGTCCGGGCATCGCGGCCCTAAAGGTGGGTGGGAGCCGTGGGGCTGTATGGCCCGAAAGCGTTTTCTCCGGATCGGTGCTGGATTGTTTTTCTCTGCGCATTATTAGCATTCAGACGTTGCTGTTGTTTCTCTTGTTACATCTCCCACGTGCGTCTCCTCCACCCCCAGTTGTCAAATGTCCTTATCGCTGGGGCCTAAAAGGATTCAACCCATCAGATCAATATACAATTCTGAGCAAGCCTTTTCTCTAAAACGCACACACAACTATAGCAGACCAATATTGTTGAATCAGGGTTTTGTTATTTTTTGGCCAGCCTGCCTGCCTGCCTGCCTAATTTTCACATGCAGCCATGTGAGTAAAATGCTTGTGAGCCTATCAGAGTGCAAATATTTCATCAGACTTCTCTGGCTTATTTTTTTAAGGGAACCTTGCATATTTTCTCTGGGTTATGATTGTTTTATTTATTTAGACAGAAATTTATTATTATTAAAAGTATTTATCCATTACAGAGAAAGTATATGACCTGTTAATTCCCAGAATTACTTATTGATATTTATTAGAAAATTCATAGGTCTAATACATATCTTCTCTTGTGTTTTGCTCATTGGTAAACAAATAAAAAAGACTAACAGCTCTCAAGCAAATCATGGATCTCAAGTGAGGTTATTCTTAAAAGTTTCAACATAAATCATTCACTGAATGAGAAAATATAGACAAATTAATCTGTCCAATTGTCTATACTTTGTTAGACTTGAGATCTAATGCATGTAGTCCTTAACTTATAATAGCATTTAGTGACGGTTCAGTTAACAATGGCACTGAAAAAATAATATGACCATTTTTCACACTTACGACCACTGCAGTATTTCCATGGTCACATGGTCAAACTTCAGTTGCTTGGCAATTGACTCATATTTATGATGATTGCAGTATCCCGGGGTCATGTGTTCATCTTTTGTGACCATTTGACAAGCAAAGTTAATGGGGAAGCCAGAATCACTTAACAACTGTGTTACTGACTTAACAGCTACAGCGATTCACTTAACAACTGTGGCAAGAATGGTCATAAAATGGGGCAAAACTCACTTAACAAATGTTTCAGCAACATACATTTTTGGCTCAATTGTGTCGTAAGTTGAGGACTACCTGTATATGCTTATTGGTGGTGGTTCCTTTTTTGCCTTGTAAAATACTGACCTTCCAACACACACATGCATGCACATAGATGCTTTTGCAATTAAGAACATGCCAAATAAATAAAACCTGGAATAGTTGCATCCTTTGTCAAGTATAATTTTAAAAGGGCATAGAAAACTGAAAGGTATAATATTCAATATAGTCAGTAATAAGCAATGTAATTATTGTCTTTTTAAAAATAACTAAAAATATATGTACTTAAATTTATATAAAATAAATTAATATACTGTTCATAATGTACTGTTATTGAAAAGACAGCTTGGGTTAGTTTCCTAACATTGCAATTCTATAAATAAATTCATGATATACTTGGTGAAAGATATCAAAGATTGATTATCTTTGCAATGGGATACATTTACTTAGAAGTTAAATCTAATTGACTTTAATGAAATCCATAGATAACAATGTGTAGGATTAGAACTTTAATGTCTGAGATCTAACTTTACAAAGTACATTTTTCTCAAAATGTAAAAATGGTTTCCCTACCCAATTGCATAATAGAAATTAAATAATTCTATTATAAATTAAGATTTATAAAAAATATATATGATAAGGGCTCTTTTGGCACTTTCAGATGTGACAGCTGATTTTAACACATCTTGAAAACTTGAGTAGGGTTACACTAGACAGGACTGAAATATTGGACTAGGAAGGACCAGGACTATAAGCTAGAGAAGTTGGGAAAAAATATCCCAGAGGGATGCCACTTTTCTAGTGATATCAAGTAGTCTATGTGGACATATCCAGAAGTATTGTCTACATTAGGGAACAACCAGTTCTCAGTAATCTGCCATGGTTTGTTGACATGTCTTCTTCCTCTTGCTGTTAGGATCTTGTCTTCACTCTTCCTATTGACTGTAATCACTGGGGTGGGAAAGGCTGGATCATTTGCAGCCATTCTCTGAGCAGAGAAGCAAGCACGGGCAAGTGTGCCCTGGGACTCCATTAGGGATACCAGTGCAGCTAACCATTCTCTTCCAGCTGGAATGATAGAGAACTGTTCTGGTACAAATATCTGACTCTTGTCAAGCAATCCAAAGCAGGTTGTTCTGTGGTCTGGTGCTATAATGTATCGCTCTTCAGTTTGCAAAGGAAAGACTGTAGTAATTTGGCATGTGATGAAAGCAGCTCTTTAACTGAATGCCCATCCCTTTCAGCCCACTTCTTTCACACTCCTCTTTGGGCATCCTATGGGTCACAGTGTGGCTATCTATAAGCCTCTTACTACTTCCATCCACTTCAAGTGCTTCAGGTTAGAGTAGTTTTATTCCAATATTGGCCTAGTAAAACAGCAGTAGATGATGGTTCCTTGGGGGGGGGGGAGTTGAGATTTTCTATTGCTGTTTAAAACCCAAAAGGACCAAAACAAAGGTAATAGTGATGGAGATACATACATTGTCAAAAAGAAGGAACTCCCCCCCATTATTAAACTATTATGAAATATTACGATCCTTATTTATAGAAGTCGCAGTAATTCTTTTTAAAATTCAGTTCAATGCTTCTTGAAGTGGAGCCAAAGCATGAAATATTTACACAGAGAGAAACAACACTGTTTTGTGAAGAATTTATGATTACAGTATTTAATGAACAGTGGCATCTATCATACAGAATTTAATGCCCTGAGAAATACTCAGTTATTTGAAATAGTGGATAATTAAGTATTTATGTGTAAGCCTTTAACATTTGATATGTATTTGATAACTTCTGAAATACTTCAGTTTGTATTAGTGCCCCACAAAAGAATATAGTAGGTTGCGTGGGGATGATAAATGCCATACCATCACACATGAATAATAGTATCCCTGTGTGCTAAAACAATTTAGTAAATAGATTGAACTAAATAATAAGATATGCAGTGGGAGTTTCTTAATATATCTGAAAGTTAAAGTTCAGATATAGATATCTGATATATATGATATTATATATATTTCTAATCATAATGGTAATAATGTATATATAGCCAATGTTTATTTTACAATGTTATCTTATTGTAGATGGATGGTGATAATTCTACAACAGATGCTTCACAGCTGGGAATTGCTGGAGATTACATTGGTGGTAGTCACTATGTGATCCAACCTCATGATGGTAAATAGTATGTTGAATAGAATGTATTGATTCTTCAATGGGTAGAATTGCCCGTTCTCTCCTTTCTTGATATCCCTTTCTTTTTGAAATACCTTTTCTTTCTTCCTATACAGTAGGAGATATAAATAATTTGTTTAGTGTCTGAATTAAAATGTTGAAAAGAACTTTTTTAAAGGAAGACCAAAAACTGCATAAAGTTAGTTCAAGAATGACATCTTGCTCATAGACTGAGCCTGCCCACCTTGATATAAGTTATGCCTCAGGCTTAATATTGCTGGTGGTATTAGGCTAGTAGCATGGTCTTTTCATTCTTAGAATGCTGAAATGTTAAGTAAAAATATGAAAGAAAAACCAGTAGTTTTTTTTAATGCATTTAAAGGAGAGTACAGGTAGTCTTCGACTTATGACCAGTAGCTTAGCAACCATTCAAAGTTACAGTGCACCTTCCTGGAGGTACTTAAAATCCGGATTTGAAGTTGATGGCTGCCACTCCCCATTGTGGTCATATGACCATATTTTGTGTGCTTAGCAATTGGGCCACCTTACAACCATTTGCAGAGTTCCATAGTCACATGATGTCCGGCAAGGCTGTATACTGTCACTCTGCCTATTTAACTTATATGCAGAGCACATCATGAGAAAGGCAGGGCTAGATGAATCAAAAGTTGGAATTAAGATTGCCGGGATAAATATCAACAACCTAAGATATGCAGATGATACCACTCTAATGGCAGAAAGTGAAGAGGAACTAAAGAGCCTCTTGATGCGGGTGAAGAAGGAGAGTGCAAAAGTTGGCTTGAAACTCAACATTAAGAAAACCAAAATCATGGCATCCGGCCCTCTCAATTCCTGGCAAATAGATGGGGAAGAAATGGAGGTAGTGACAGATTTTATTTTTCTGGGCTCCAAGATCACCTCAGATGGGGACTGCAGCCAAGAAATTAAAAGACGCTTGCTCCTGGGGAGGAAAGCTATGGCAAATCTAGACAGCATACTAAAAAGCAGAGACATCACCCTGCCAACAAAAGTGCGTATAGTCCAGGCCATGGTTTTCCCAGTTGCAATGTATGGCTGTGAAAGTTGGACCATAAGAAAGGCTGAGCGCCAAAGAATTGAGGTCTTTGAACTATGGTGCTGGAGAAGACTCCTGCGAGTGCCTTGGACTGCAAGGCGTTCAAACCGGTCAGTCCTAGAAGAGATCAACCCCGACTACTCTTTAGAAGGCCAGATCCTGAAGTTGAAACTCAAGTATTTTGGCCACCTAATGAGAAGGAAGGACTCACTGGAGAAGGGCCTAATGCTGGGAAAGATTGAGGGCAATAGAAGAAGGGGACGACAGAGAATGAGATGGCTGGATGGAGTCACTGAAGCAGTAGGTGTGAACTTAAATGGACTCCAGAAGATGGTAGAGGACAGGAAGACCTGGAGGAACGTTGTCCATGGGGTCGCGATGGGTCGGACACGACTTCACAATTAACAACAACAACAACATAGTCACATGATGTGTTCTATGACAGTTTTGCCGAAAATCAACATCTACTTCCAATTTTCAGCAAAATCACATCCATAGCGAATCAGTGGTTTGCTTAACAACTGCAGCGTTCACTTAACAATCATTACTAAAAAGGTCATAAAATTGGTCATGTGAGTGACCCAGTTTACAATGATCAAGAGTTACAATTTTGATGAGCAGGGTCCATTACTGTTGTAACTCAAAAGGGTTATATAAAGTAAGTGTAGATTTTTCAGTTAGGTAGCAATGCATTGATTGATGTTCCTGATCATGTAATTAATATTTATATGTTTATAAATTTATATTTTCTTAGATACTGAGGACAGCATGAATGATCATGAAGACACAAATGGTTCCAAAGAGAGTTTTAGAGAACAAGATATATACCTTCCTATTGCAAATGTGGCAAGGATAATGAAGAATGCTATACCTCAGACAGGAAAGGTAATATATGTAAAATAAATCTTTGATAGTATCCCATATTTTAAATCATTAGTTTCTGTTAACAAGCAAGAGTTCCATATTGTCCAGAATAGAAGTTTGCATTTTCCTCTTGTGAGGAAAAATAAGTTTTAAATTCTGAGACAGTTTTCATTATCTTAAAAGAAGATGGCCAGGTCGTTTTTCATATTAAGAAGAAAACACCAATAATTAATAGTTTGTAGAAGAATTCCTTCAATGAAAGAACATTTATTTTTCATTTAGTGGCACACAAAGCATTTTGAATTTCAACTATTTTCAATAAGGATCATCCTGGCTGCTTTGCAAACAGATTACTTTGTTTATTTTGGAAGCGTTTAGAACTTAAAAATATTTTCCACTTTCCAATTCTCTGTATAAAATGCATATTTTTGTCAACAATCTTTCTTGATATACTTAAGAATTAATTGAGATTAAGCTGGGTAGCATGCTTTATTTATTATATTATTTTAAGCATTAATGCCTTTTAATATAATTAGCACTGATAACTAGCTAGATTGGCTCTTTGATTAGACATAGATGTCTATGGAGCAGGATGAGTTTGTAAAAATGGTTCTGCAACATTTCTGCTAGAGTACATGGTACTTCTGTTAGGAAGTATGATTTGGGGATTTGGCACAAAGATATCAATATTTTAGTATTCAGCTCTAATTTGCTTGTCATCTGAATCAGATGGGACACTGATTAATCAAGTGAAATGTCAATCGTACTTGAATCTAGTAGCAACATGGATGAGAATCAGCAAACCAAAGCAAAACTCCAGTAAAATGGATGCCTTGTGATATAAGTTTCCTGTGTCCAGGAATCTGTTACATACTCTTGAACAGAAGATGTGTCATTTGGTTGTTCTTGATCCAGATGTATTGTTTGGGACCGCATCACCAACTTTTATTAGCATGAAGAATCTTTTACCAGCTTTAACCATCCTTAAATAAGGATGGTTATCTCTGATCATAGAAAATGTCAGCTGTTATGGAAGATGCATAAATTTCTGACAGGTTCAGGTAGACTTGATTATATTACATTGATCCTGAGGAAGCTGAATGGGTTGCTAGTTTGATTGCCAGTCCATGTCAATGCCTGAGTTGATCTTTAAAGGTCAAAATATTTTTGGGCTTAAATGTCTGAAAGAACATACCTCCCTGTATCTGCCTGCCATGTTTTTATATTTTATTATGCATTTATTATTATTATGCCTTTTTAATATTTTTATTATGTTTGGGGGGTTATTATTTTTATCTCATGGGAAAAGTTTAAAAATATTGTATATTGTGTATATTTTAGATTGCTAAAGATGCAAAAGAATGTGTGCAGGAGTGTGTCAGTGAATTCATCAGTTTTATTACATCAGAAGCAAGTGAGAGGTGTCATCAAGAGAAACGGAAGACCATAAATGGAGAAGATATTCTCTTTGCTATGTCTACTCTGGGGTTTGATAGCTATGTTGAACCTTTGAAGTTGTATCTTCAAAAGTTTAGAGAGGTTTGTAATTCTGTTTGCAATTGTTTCATTGTGTGTTTATATATATTTGTATTGGAAGTAAAGATCGCTGGGTAATTGTATGTGTGTTTTTTTAAAAGAAGACCATTTTTACCTGTTCTGCAATGTTTTGTAAAGATTTTCCTTTACCTATACAGGTGTATTATTTATAGTAGAAAAATAGTATTTGTGTCACATGGACTAGACTAAAAAAGCAGCTCATATTTACAAATTTGTTGTTTTAACAATGTAGGTTAACCAACATTTGCAGTAAAGTGTTGTATAATTTAATGTGTTAGGTTTCAAGAAGAAAATGGATGAGAATCTCCACAAAATCAAACTAAAGTGTATAAATTTTGACACAAGCAACCTTTCTTCTCTTCCCCCTTTAATTTGCACTATGCTCTGTTGCATAGGGGTCTGGGTTTTTGTGGTCTTGCTTCACATCTGTTTTACTTCTGCTTTGTTTACCATAGTGCTAAGAATGCACAGAATGGAGGAGAGCTGAAACATATGCATCTCATAATAAGGAATGGTGCTTGTTGCAGTTTCTTTCTGTAAATAACTATTCATAGCAAGTTGGAAAGCAGAACCACACATCAGCCTCTGGTTAAGACAGAATGAGCTGGCAGTAGGAAGCCAACTGTTGGGAAAATTCTTCGGAACATCTACCTAATTTTCCATTTTGTCTAAGATGCTTACCCAGAAAACCTACTATATGAATATTTAATATGATAAATGATGGGCAAAATTAACAGTCTCCTATTAGGAAAAGTATTTTTTTATAAAAGAGAAAGAGATTTCAAACTTATAGAATTGTATTGTGAATTCTAGAATATACATGTGTTATATGTAAAATATTACTGTTTTTCAAGGCAATGAAGGGAGAAAAAGGCATTGGTGGAACAGTTACCACAGCAGACGGCCTTAGTGAGGAGCTCACAGAGGAAGCATTCAGTAAGTACTGTGTTACTAATAGTGACGGGTGCAGATGTGGTGATTGTTGCCTAATACTTAACGATTAAATAACCTTGTTAATTGTATTGAACTATAGCCAGTATTTATGTGACAGTTTAATGGCAAAGTACATGCAATCCACAAAATATCGATGCTATATGTAGGTAGTCCTTGGGTTTAGAGACTGGGCAGTTGGGACTGGGATTGTTGCAGCTGTAAAGCGCAAAGTCACGTGTCCTCATCACTTAGTGATAGCAATCCCAACAGTTCAGGGTGCCATAATATTTCTAAGTTCCACAGATCATTAAGCAGAAAGTGCCAGGAGTCCCAGGTAGGTAGCATGGGGTAGAGGGGGAAATCCTGCGCAGGCTGCACATGAGTCCAGGGTGGCCAGGGGACTGGAATCATCTGTGACCTCCCCTGCCAACTTCCACATTGACTTTGCTTGTGGGAATCTGGCAGGGAAGGTTGCAAATGGCAATCGTGACCATGTCTGCCTGAAATGTTATAATTGTGAGCCAGGCAATCAAATGTGATCAAGTGACTGCAGGGATGCTGCAATGGCCAGAACTTTGAGGATTGGTCATAACATTCATTTTTTGCAGCCTCACTGTAATTTTGAACAGTTAGTGAACAAATGGACATAAGCTAAGTACTATCTGTAGTTTGTTCGTGAATCCTCGAAAACAAGATTGAAACTAAATGAACTAAGTTATACTGAGTGACTTACAATTTTTGAGCAAGTTTTCATATGGATCTATTTCACTTGTTCCCATCACTGTAACTTACCGAAGCATGTAGAAAAAAATTATTATTATTCTAATATCCCTGAATTGCAAATAGTAAAGTCTTTGACCTCAAGCCAGCATTGTTACTTATTTAAAATAATTATATCCTGTACTTGCTGGTTATAATGAAATAAAAAGAATAAAACAATACAACTAAGTAAAATTAAATTGAAAATGAATTTGAAATACTCAGTTTAAAATACACAATTGTTTATCTGAAACTTGGTACAACAGTGGTGTAATTTACCTAAAACTAACCATGCATTCCTCTTTAAGACAGAATCTTTTTAATAAAGGTTTCTGTAGAAAACAACTGTTTCTTTCATCATGGGTTATGTTTAAATTATGCAGAGTTCTCATGTCTCACAAGAATGATCCCATTGTAAAAACATTTTTAAATAGCATTCTTTGCATTTTGATAAAAGGTGTGTGTCTCCTTTTGCATAGAGTTCATTGAGCTTTTAATTAGATATCTTCCACTAGTTTTGAGCTCTGCTTTTTTTCGAGTAGAATACAGATGCTTTTGAGTGCATGAAGATAATTATTAATTGTACATACTTCTGGAATTTAGAAAGTAGGTCTAAACAGGCAGGGAAGGAGGAATTCTCTAATAAAACTTTATCACAACAGAACTGCATTAACTGGACAGTTGTTTTCTTCATTGAATTATATTCCAAGTATTGAATGACTGTATAAAAGAATTACTATACTGATTAGACAATCATTTGAATGCAGATCAAAGCATGAGTAGGCATTGCTGATAGAAGCTTGCCCAAAAAGGTTCATCTGAAGGTCAGATGATCCTCCTGAATGAGAGGAAGAATATTTGAAAGTAAGGCAGAGAGACCTCTGTATAAGCACCATACAAAAGAGGCATCTAATTTTTAATAATTCATGCTGTCTCTATCACTCTCCTGCAACACAACACATATAGAGGTAATCCTTGACTTAATACCAGTTCGTTTAGTGAATATTTGAAGTTACAACGGCACTGAAAAAGTGACGTGTTTTTCACACTTATGATTCTTGTGGCATCCCAATGGTCATGTAATCAAAATTCAGATGCTTGGCAATTCACTCCTATTTGTGACTGTTGTAGTGTCCTGGGGTCATGTGATCACCTTTTGCGACTTTCTAACAAGCAAAGTCACTTTACAACTATTTCTAACTTAACAACTGCAGTGATTCATTTAACAAATGTGGCAAGAAAGGTCACAAAATGGAGCAAAATTCACTTAACAAGTGTCTCACTTAGCAACAGAAATTTTAGGCTCAATTGTGGTTGTAAGTAGAGGATTACCTGTATTTTGTTTGAATTTTAAAATGCTCAAACTTTGGGAGTGGATTGGTGGAGGAAAGAATATGGAGTAGCAAGTGATGACTGTAGTTAGTAGACCTACAGTGGGGCAAAAAAGTATTTAGTCAGCCACCAATTGTGCAAGTTCTCCCATTTAAAAAGATGAGAGAGGCCTGTAATTGTCATCATAGGTAGACCTCAACTATGAGAGACAAAATGAGAAAACAAATCCAGACAATCACATTGTCTGATTTGGAAAGAATTTATTTGCAAATTATGGTGGAAAATAAGTATTTGGTCACCTACAAACAAGCAAGATTTCTGGCTCTCACAGACCTGTAACTTCTTCTTTAAGAGGCTCCTCTGTCCTCCACTCATTACCTGTATTAATGGCACCTGTTTGAACTTGTTATCAGTATAAAAGACACCTGTCCACAACCTCAAACAGTCACATTCCAAACTCCACTATGGTGAAGACCAAAGAGCTGTCGAAGAACACCAGAAACAAAATTGTAGACCTGCACCAGGCTGGGAAGACTGAATCTGCAATAGGCAAGCAGCTTGGTGTGAAGAAATCAACTGTGGGAGCAATAATTAGAAAATGGAAGACATACAAGACCACTATAATCTCCCTCGATCTGGGGCTCCACGCAAGATCTCACCCCGTGAGGTCAACATGATCACAAGAACGGTGAGCAAAAATCCCAGAACCACATGGGGGGACCTAGTGAATGACCTGCAGAGAGCTGGGACCAACGTAACAAAGGCAACCGTCAGTAACACACTACACCGCCAGGGACTCAGATCCTGCAGTGCCAGACATGTCCCCCTGCTTAAGCCAGTACATGTCCAGGCCTGTCTGAAGTTTGCTAGAGAGCATTTGGATGATCCAGAAGAGGATTAGGAGAATGTCACATGGTCAGATGAAACCAAAGGAGAACTGTTTGGTAGAAACACAACTCGTCATGTTTGGAGGAGAGAGAATGCTGAGTTGCATCCAAAGAACACCATACCTAGTGTGAAGCATGGGGCTGGCAACATCATGCTTTGGGGCTGTTTCTCTACAAAGGGACCAGGACGACTGGTCCGTGTACAGGAAAGAATGAATGGGGCCATGTATTGTGAGATTTTGAGTGCAAACCTCCTTCCATCAGCAAGGGCATTGAAGATAAAACGTGGCTGGGTCTTTCAGCATGACAATGATCCCAAACACACCGCCCGGGCAACGAAGGAGTGGCTTCGTAAGAAGCATTTCAAGGTCCTGGAGTGGCCTAGCCAGTCTCCAGATCTCAACCCCATAGAAAACCTTTAGACGGAGTTGAAAGTCCGTGTTGCCCAGCGACAGCCCCAAAACATCACTGCTCTAGAGGAGATCTGCATGGAGGAATGGGCCAACATACCAGCAACAGTGTGTACCAACCTTGTGAAGACTTACAGAAAATGTTTGACCTCCGTCATTGCCAACAAAGGATATATAACAAAGTATTGAGATGAACTTTTGATATTGACCAAATACTTATTTTCCACCATAATTTGCAAATAAATACTTTCCAAATCAGACAATGTGATTGTCTGGATTTGTTTTCTCATTTTGTCTCTCATAGTTGAGGTCTACCTATGATGACAATTATAGACGCCTATAATTGGTGGCTGACTAAATACTTTTTTGCCCCACTGCACAATTGGTGGCTGACTAAATACTTCTTTGCCCCACTGTATATCTTTGAAACCATGCTGTTTTATCAGAAACATTGCATATAATTTGACAGGCTTGTTGTATTAGATGGAACTTGCTCTGTTGAACTGATAGTGATATTTGTTCTGTTTTGTGTGTGTGTTATTAAAAATATTTGCCAGACATAGACAAACAATTATAAAAGAGCAAGATCTCTGCTCAGAGGATAGAGAACCTTTGAGCATGTGTTTCTGTTAAAGTATAGTGATGTACTTCAAAACAGTTATGCTTTTAAACTGAAAATATCAATAGGCACTGTAAAGAATCAATCTGATTTCCAGCTATAGGATGAGACAGTTAATATGCTATTTAATGTTTTTATTCATACTACTGTGTATTTTTATCTTCCAAATTAGTTCACAGTTGAATTCTCGATTTCTTGTTATGAAGGTCTAATATTCAACTTGTATTATCAGGTTGCAGTTCCAATACATATTATGAAAGAGATCAGATTTCATACTGTTCAATGGTAGATATTTAACTTGGATTTGGTATTTAATTCTTCATGAGCAGAAATCTTGTAACAATGCTATTTTTCTCATGTAGCTAACCAGTTGCCAGCAGGTTTGATAACTACAGATGGCCAACAACAAAATGTCATGGTTTATACAACGTCCTATCAACAGGTACAACATTTCCTTCCTCTCCTATCTTAATTTTTGTTAAATATTTCCAGTTTTGGTCAGAACAATGAAAAAGTGTGGTATTGTTAAGATCACTACAATAGATTCCACAAACAAAAATGTGTGTCTGGATTGACTTTTGAAATTAATGTGTATTTTTTATTCCCTAGATCCCTGGTGTTCAGCAAATTCAGTTCTCATGACTTGAAAAAGGCTTTAGACACATAAGAAATATGAACAAGGAATGCTAAAGGAAAGAGAAATTGAATTGGCTAGTGAAGAAAGAAGTGTCACTTTGTATATTCAATAGTTGTAATGTAGCTTCCTGAGGCTTGATTGAGATGTGAACTCTGATTCAAACCTTTTTTCATGAGTGATTTTAAAAGAAATTGGATTTTAAAGGTATTAAAATATTTTTTTTGTTTTGTACAAGAGTTTGTTGCTCTGTATAACTCCTATATGCAGTGTATATTGCAATTTACTACTGTCAGATTTGTAGACAGTTTCTTATTTTCATATTGAATCATCTTACTTTTGTAATTCAAGTAAACAGCTGGGTTTAATTCATGTTTACCCTTTGAATAAAACATAAGGGTACAGTTCATTTTGAATGCAAGTTGCCTTTATTATAAAAATTGAGATGACCTTTTGTTTTGTATCTGTCTTGCATGAGTTGAATTAAATATTTATTAATATTTAACTTGAAAGGAAATTCCTCAAATGCCCACAGTTCAAAATAAGTGCTCCCGCTTATTACTTTTAATATAATAATTTAAATAATGGGAATCCAGAAGTAACCAATCTTTGAATCATAGCATTATAACCTTGGACCATGGTCCCTGGGAACTATTTTGCACAAGGTGTAAAAGAATGAAGGTGGGTTTGTCAGGAACTGTTGTCTTGTATGCAGAATTAGTTCTGTGGATTGTTTGGTACCCAATATCAGTGTTAACTGTATCTGGTAGTGCAGTCCCTATTTTGCAACAATTAGAAATATGTAGTAAAGATTTTTTTTTTGTGTTGATCTTTGGACTAGGGATATTCATCTTACTACTTTTGAAATAAATTCCTTTTAATTTATGATTTCTCTTCAAAGAAGTCAGATTCCGTTTGATACTTTATTGTCAGATTACCTCTTTAACATTTCATAATCATGATGTGTGGGACCTCAGAGCTTAATAACTGTGGAAGTTAGAGGGACATGTATTTTCGGGGATGTAAATGGAAGGCTTGAGCATCTATTTGGCTGTTTCCTGTTGCTGCAATAAATTTTAAGATACCTAAAAAAAATAATTGTGATTTGTAAAATGATAATAAGTGAACAAATGCCACCGAGAACTTGAGAATAAAATTGTTGATCAGCAAAGCTTACTCCTGGATAAAAAAGAGCTGCTAAATTCTAAATCATGAAAAGAAAAATGTGATAATCTGATGCTCATCCCTCCAAGGGAACTGGTCTCTATTTTAAATCATGATGGCAAAAATCCTCTAAATCTAAAACACCGAACAAACACATCCCAGCAGTATTTAACATTTGAAAAACAGAAACCTCATATAATTTTTGCTCAGAAGCTGTATAGTCCAAGATAATTTCTTAAAAAAATTGCACCAATAGAGAAAGCATCTCTTTAATTATCTGCAAAAGGTTAAGGGAAATTAATACACGTTTTTGTTTTCAGAAAGCTGTAGATTTGGTGCAATAAAAATAATTGGATCTGAAAAGCTGTTGGAAACTTGGAAAGCAAATTGCCAAATTAATTTTCTAGAAAGTTTTATTTAACTTTGGCTGTCAGTGTTATCAATAATCAGGATTAATTTAGGATTCACCTCATATAAAATCAGATTGATTAAAGGATTTGAAAAAAAAGTTGAATGACTAATTTTTAATAGAGCTTAAGCCATTGCATTGTGCAATACAAGCCTCAAGTGAAATTAAAGCGTAGCAATCCAGAAGAGACACATTTATGAAACTGCCAAACACAACTTGATAAACAAGCTTGCATTTGTGAATTTGCAGTGCACTTATTAAATGACAATGGAGATGCAAATCCTCTTGTAACCACAGAAGATCACTTGATTACTTTGAGCCTGTTACTTTCAGCTCAACTTTACAAAGTGGTAAGGGGAGAAAAATTATGCTCCCTTGAATTCCTAGGTGAAGGGGGGAAATCTGTTTAGCATTTTATTGGTTCTATACTTAAACATGGGCTTTGTGATAAAAGTAACTCAGGATTATGGTACTAATACCAATCCTATTATAAACAGTGAACTTGTGGTTTTAAATCTCCGTTTAAGAAATGAAGCAAATTTGTTAAACTTGAGATGTATTTAAACATTTTACATCTCTATTCATAGCAGCTTAATTAGATTTGTTCACATGATTCAGGTTGAGATAATCATACTTAAAAAATCAACCTCACATATCTAACCTGTCTCATATTTAAGTAATGTATACTAGGACACTGAGATCCCTCTCACAGTTACTACTATTGTAGAAAGTAAGGCTCTACATTTAGGCAAGAAAAACCAAATGCACAGGTACAGTGTAAGTGGTACCTTGCTTAGTAGTAGTAACTGAGAGGGATCTTGGAGTGCTAGTGGACAATCAGTTAAATATGAGCCAGCAGCATGCTGCAGCTGCCAAAAAACCCCACACAGTGCTAGGCTGCATTAACAGAGGGACAGAATCAAGATCAAGCCTTGGTAAAGCCACACTTGGAATACTGCATCCAGTTTTGGTCACCATGATGTAAAAAAGTTGTTGAGACTCTAGAAAGAGTACAGAGAAGAGCAACAAAGATGATTAGGGGACTGAGAGCTAAAACATAAAGAATGGTTACTAGAATTGGGTATGTCTAGTTTAATGAAGAGAAGGACTAGGGGTGACATGATAGCAGTGTTCCAATACCTCAGGAGTTGCCACAAAGAACAGGGAATCAAGCTACTCTCCAAAACAGACATGTCGCGATGTCATATGACGTCACATAATGTATCAGGACTGTTTTGCCATTGCCAGCAATGGGGTGGGCGTGGCTTCCACGTGACGCATCCAGCCTGCCAGTCGGCAGTTTGATACCCCTGTTCCAAAGCACCTGAAGGCAGGACAAGAAGCAATGGATGGAAACTAATCAAAGAGAGAAGCAACCTAGAACTAAGGAGAAATTTCCTGACAGAATAATTAATCAATGGAACAACCTGCCTCCAGAAGTTGTGAATGTTCCAACTCTGGAAGTTTTTGAGACTGGACAGCCATTTGTCTCAAATGGTATAGGGTTATCTGCCTGAGCAGGGGATTGAACTAGAAGACTTCCAAGGTCCCTTCCAACTCTATTATTGTTATTGTTATTGTTGTTCTCCTGCACTAAAGCCAAAGTAACATATTGCAAGATCTAGCTTCTTAGAACACTAAACTCGATTCTGCAATGTGAATATGTGAAATGTTTATTTCTAAGTGTAATTACCATTGAAAGTTGCACTGATTCAACCAATATCGTAGATTTTTAAAAAAACAGAAATAAACATTATTAGGACAAATCACTTTATTACAAATGACAATGCTATTTTTATTATAGAAAATATTGGATTTCTCTCAAGATATTTCAGCTGCAGATCATAAAATCACAAATAGCTGGTTTTAACCATCACTTTAGAATTCCAGTTAACTGGTGTCATTTTTGTTAAAGACTGATTTACTGGTTCAGCCAACTTCAAAATTATGGTCAGATATTGCTATAAATCATACATAATGGCTGAAATTCAGATGGTCACATTACTTTAGCAAACAGACACACACAAGTTATTTTTCCTCATTCTTATATATTTTACTGGATAATTATTCAGCGTTTTTACACTAAGTACTGTACCTTACAATAGGCCAATGGGAAAAAGTCTCAAATTGATATATTCCATTTTACTAAACATCCAGCATATGAGTACATGTTTTAGAACAAACCAGTATATGAAACCATGAAGCTGACTTTCATACGTTGGTTTTATTCTAAAACTGGTAAGCAATTATTTGGAACTGCAATCCGCATACATAGGCAAAAGGCTTATTTTTATCAGCTTATTAAATACATATTATGACCCTTTGAACCATGCCAAATTTTTATTCACACTCCATGTCACAAACAAAACTTAAATCGAATTGATGAAGTATGCTATAAATAGCAACAGAGTTTTCCATTTATAAAGATTGATACTAAGTCTATTATTGAAGTTGCAACAGGATGGACTAATTTATACAAGATGTTATATTTACAAAGGCAAGCAAAAAAACAAACCAACAACCAGTTTCCCAAATAGTCTGATTTTATATTTTAAGTGAACTTAGGTTGACCCATGTATCCAAATATATATGCTTGAAATATAAATTTACAATTGGATGAAACACATTTTAAGTGCTATTAAGAGAAGCAGGCTGCAAAAATAGCTTGACATATGGGATGAGCTACCAAAGAAATTATACACTTGTTACTAATCTGGTTCCATATATGGGAAACTGCTGAATTGTGGTAAATCATAATAGCCTATTGGCATAAGCACATGTACGCTGAATCTCAGGTCTGAATTAACACCACCACAATTTTACCTTTGGTAATCATGACATACTCTTAAAACAAGTGCAGAAATATATGAACTCAAAAGTGCAAAAATACTCACAGATATACTCAACAGATCATATTGTTAAGTTAAGGTATCTACAATCAAAAGTTATTAATAGCCATATAATTCTCACATTCTGTCACAATAGGCCTCCCAATTCAAAAAAGTTATAGAAAACAACACTACAACTATTTTGAGTGAGTTCTTAAAGGTACTTTTCTTTGATTCTGTGACCACTGGGGTACCTCGATTCAATCCAGAGTTGGAAGTATGTGGCAAATAAAGTGAAAGGAAGCACATTTCTTGTTATGACAATTCAAGGAAGAGCTGAAATTCTCCTAGCATCTAAAATGGACCTTCACAGGAAACACTACCTTCAACTTTGAAGGCCGTATTTATAGATTTTTGAAGTTTCCATTTCACAGTACTGGTTAAAACAATCTGGAGTGATTTTTAATTGCCAAGAACAACCACAATTGTATGGTGGCAACATACATTTTCTCTGGGGTGTTATTATGTACTTGCCTTAGGAAAGGGTACATATCATAAGGTGCACAAAAGAGTGTATTAGTTTCACTCTGAGCATCTATGTTATTATGCCACAAATAGACACAGTGTTATATAGGTAGTATAACCGATATCCTGCCCCATCCTCTTTATAGCACACTGCAAATATTTCTCAGGAAAAACCCAGTAAGCAAACATTACTGTCAGCTCACTAACATACACAAAAGTTTGTTGATGGAACTTATTCCTTCTTAGAGAGTAGCCAGTAAAAAGCGCTACTTAGCTTATTAGTAATTCAAGAAAGCTTTTAACAAGTAGTTCACTAATTTTTTCATGGCATTACAGATTGTGCTGCATCAGCATAATTGTGGTAAAGTTAGAATTCTATTATCTTAGGGTGGCTTTCTCCACCTGCCACCCTCCTGATATCTTAGGACTGGAGCTTTTAGCCGCTATTCTGGAACTTTCAGTCCCCAAACATCTGAGGGTACAAATCACCTGTTCCCATACATCAAACTGTTTGCTGCTGTTATTCAAATATCTCTGGAAGGAGAGTATTAATAAGTATTGGAGATAAAAGTTGGGGGAGTTGGGTCCTAATTCTATCCAAACCACGAACTCTCTGGGATTATGTTAAGCCATTTTGAGGAAGCCATAATGGTGTGTCTTATAGTAAGCCATAAACCATGCAGATCACAGTGGCTTAGTTCATATATCACAAGGGATAAGCAAACCAATCATCTCACGGTTTACCATGTACTAAGCCAGAACAGACTTTCTTCACATGAATTTCTCCCAGTTTCTCTACCTAAAAATGGATTACAACGGGCCTTCGTAAAGATTGTAACTGTGAACATGGAATGATAATAAAGCATTAGTATTACCATAATCCACTTTAAAACTGATCCTTGCAGATCAAGTGATTCCCATCTTAATTCTTATGCATTGATGGAAAACTGAAGTGCAAAATATTCATTCTATTGCACATATGCACTAAATCAGGTTTCAAAATAGAGATTATTTTTTTAAAAAAAATCATTTTATTTAGATGCCAAAGGATGCAATCCACAGGAACCTGTATAAGGTCCATTCAAATTAATGTAAAAAGCACTACTGTTCACAGAAATATCCCTATGGGATGCATCATTAAGCTCTATTCACCACCTATATTATATACT